TTTTTATATATATATATATATATAAGTTGTCAGGCATCCTGCAATTTCTAATATCAACAAACCTGATATAGTTTCATATCAAACTGCATAAATTAAAATTAATTTAACTGGTGGTAACAAATAAGGCATTCCCCACTTTGTTTTTTCTTTTTTTATGTAGTAAGAAAATCAAAAGATTCGGATCGGAAGGATATGTTTGTCGAGAAATTTGAAAATAATTTCACGTAGCATTTTCTTCTATCAGTGAAAACTTCTTTATAAGAAAAAGATAGATAATAAACGTAAATCGATCGGAATCTTTTGATTTTTGTATCAAATTTTGTGTACTGTAGTGAGTAAAATAGGTTTCTTTGTTAACAAAATATTTTTGTTTATATGTAACAGACTATTATTATTATTGTGAAAGACATCTGGTAAAATTTTTTTTCAGCATTAACATAAAAAAAGAATGATAATTAACCTACTATGAGGATTAATATTTATTTGTGGCGAGCTTCTCGATGCGAATGTGTATTAGTTTGCAAACAGACCGTCACTGAAAGCTTCTTGTATGGCTTGTTGGCAAGGAAGAGAGAGCCACTGTTTAGGTAACAGCTGTAATTCTCTTTCTAGAGTCATTCGCAATTTATCCCAGAGATGGCATCTCATCATCAGTTTTGTAGTTTCCATCGCCTAGATAGAAAAGAAACATAGTTTGCATCAATTTCATTTACATGAGAAACTTAATTAATTAGGAATGATATTTAATAGAATGAAGTTGAAAATAAATATAATGATTTATGAAAACATACATAAATTCTGATGACCAACCAAATTATAAAAAACTCAACTTTTGAAATGACATTGGCCCATCAATATTACTGTCTACTGATGTGATATCTATACAGTCTTAGACAAAACTTCAAATCAAAAGGTCTTAGACAAACTTTACAGGTCGGTCAGGAATGCAAAAAACAACCATTTTTAACTAGAAACAGAGAAAGATGTATTCCTTTCTAAGTATACATTTTTATTAGACCATTGGGAAGGCATTTTGTGGCTATATATTTAAAAGACCTATAAATCATCCTGTGTGTATATATAAAATCTTAATTATAATTGAACACCCTAAAAACAACTTNAGATGGCATCTCATCATCAGTTTTGTAGTTTCCATCGCCTAGATAGAAAAGAAACATAGTTTGCATCAATTTCATTTACATGAGAAACTTAATTAATTAGGAATGATATTTAATAGAATGAAGTTGAAAATAAATATAATGATTTATGAAAACATACATAAATTCTGATGACCAACCAAATTATAAAAAACTCAACTTTTGAAATGACATTGGCCCATCAATATTACTGTCTACTGATGTGATATCTATACAGTCTTAGACAAACTTCAAATCAAAAGGTCTTAGACAAACTTTACAGGTCGGTCAGGAATGCAAAAAACAACCATTTTTAACTAGAAACAGAGAAAGATGTATTCCTTTCTAAGTATACATTTTTATTAGACCATTGGGAAGGCATTTTGTGGCTATATATTTAAAAGACCTATAAATCATCCTGTGTGTATATATAAAATCTTAATTATAATTGAACACCCTAAAAACAACTTTAATTTATATCATCATCAGCATACTACTTATACATACATGTATGTAAAATATTAAGAGTAAAATTTTTTATTATTATGTTATAGAATTATAAAAATGTTAAATTGATGTAATAAAAATTGCTTATAGTGTAGGATGAAAACAATGATTAAATCTTGACTAATGTAAATTATCTATATAAAAAAGAAAAAAAATTTAAGAAGTTATTTAAATAATTTAATCAAACAATTCCACAAACTTTTGAATTTTCATTTCGAATCTGAGACTTTATTCACAAAAATAAAATTGTTTTGCTAAATTTCTTAACGAGGTTTTCTAAAAGCTTTTTTTTTTCAATAAAATTATATTGAAAATTATAACTATTTTAGGAATCATTTAATGTGAGGCAATTTATTCATTAAATTTAAGAAAACTTTCCATTCTTAACAATAGGTGATAAAGTTAAATTTAGATTAATTTTCAGAAATAACTGTAATATTCAAATAATACTCTAATAATGGTAAAAAAAAAAGTTATCATCTTAGATAATTGAATATTGTGATTTTATACTAACATCATGTTATATTCTACAATAACTACATTTAAAAAATTGTGATTAGTGTTATTCCTCTTCAATTGATATGTTACCACTAAAGCTCAAAAGTCGTTAATGTGTACATTACCTAGCTAATCTGCAGATTAACTAGGGTGATCCATTAAAGTTGCTATGAATTTCACACTTAAAATCAAAAGCGCTTAGTGTTTAAGGTGCATACGGTATTTTTATTTATTTTACGCCATACATGGAGGGCCTCCGAGTTCGAAAGAGGCCCAGGCCAATAAACCATTTTGAGGCCCCTAGTGTACTTAAAAAACATACAAAACTACGTTAAAAAGTTATATTTTTGTTTTAAATAATAAAAATTTTTACAAAAAAACAACGCTAGAATCAATACTAAATGTTCTTGTTTTTATTTATAACAAATACTTTTTTCTTAGGCCCCCTAAGTGCGAAACCTGGGTGCAGACGGCTCTACTGGCCTTCTCGTGATACATTCCATGTACCGTACACGTACCCGAAGAGGGGTGGAAATCAAGAATGTGTTGCAGGTATATAAATTCGACCCCAGTGCAATAAAAGACTTTAGCGACGATGTAACTTAAGTGTTTATTGCAGCCAAGTAGAAAAGCTTCCACAGGAAAACATTCTGTAACAAAGACGTTGCTTCCGGTTTTCTCGCAATTTTTACCTACTAAAGAATTTTATTTAATATTTTCAAGTTAGAAGCTTCCATTTTTTAAATAATAGATTTATTTTTTTTTTCTTATTTTGGCCCCATTAAGCTTAAGATGAGAATTNGAACGTGCGTCCCCACTGTTTCCTTTCTTCTCTTTGCTGGAATCAGAGACGAGCCGCCATTTTACTCACCATAGGTAACATTATCCAATTGTGCTTACTTACTAGTGCAGTCTAAAGATTGGTGACACTTTGAATTTCATAGCAATTGGTTTTTGCGACAAGCACACCTATCTGTGGTACATTTATTTGTGGCAAAGATCTTATTTTCACTTTACTGAGTGCCTAGTAGGTAATGTGCGGATTATCTAGATACTCTGCACATTATCTAGGTAATTTGAGAAATGGAACAGTTTTCACAACTTTAACGGATCACCCTAGTTAATCTGCAGATTAGCTAAGTAATGTACACATTAACGACTTTCGAGCTTTAGCGGTAACAGATACACTAATTTTTCCCATTTGTCTGCTTGTTTTTAGCACTTACTCGATTATTCATAAACTTCTAATGACCATCCGAGTGTGAACTCTTACGTAAACATGCTTTACAAAGCATATATTAATTTCATCTATGTGTGAAACAAACTGCAACTTTCAAATTATTCCTACATGTCTTAAACTAAATATTCCTCTTAAAAAATTATCCCAAAAACTGTCATTTGTACAAAATCTACCAAGTACTAAAATCTAGAAAAATGACGACGAAGATCGATTAAGATGAAAATAGAATTAACAATATAAAAATTACATAATTAATAAATTGACAATTTGTTTTTGCAAATACTTTTTTAGTTTATTTAAAAATCTTGTTTATCGAACCTCGCTCGTAGAAATACTGTGAATTAAGTTGGGGAGTCTCCAACTTTATCCTGTGCCAAATTTATCCTTCAAATAAATGTTTCTTGTATTCTCTCATTTCCAATTTAGCAACATTTTTCTCACCTCCAATAATTTCCATAAAAACTATATAATTCTATAAAATGGATTATTTTAACCTTAACACTACAGATCTTATGTAAAAAAATAATCTAGATTAAATATTATTTCTTGTTTTGATATAAATTGAGTTAATAATAATAATAGTTATATTTTCATCAGTTTTTAATAGAATTTGATAAATTTCAGAACTATCATCTAACATTTAGTAATTGGATGGTCAGGATGGTAAAGACGTTTACCCATTGCATAACAGAAGTTCAAATTCAGTTATTAGATAGTAGTCGACAATAATATGAATGGAAACCACATATGGTAGATAAATAAACTGAGACGGTTTAAACAAAAAAAAAATATATATATAATACACTGCACATAGTAAAAATATTCAATTTCTCAAAAAGTAACAATTTCTTCATTTTTTTTGTTAGATAAGTCATCAAACATCAAGGTAAATTTTATATAGTGTTTGATCTATTTGATTACAAAAGAAGAATAGCAGCTCTATTCTTAAGAACACAATATAATAATAATAATTTAAATATTTTTAAATTCAATTTTCAGAAAATAAAATGAAGAAAGCCAAAACATTAAAGTGGATCAATTGAAATATGAATAGTTTATTTAATTAATACTAGCCTAGGTACCACCTGGCTTTGCTCTAGAAAATGATACATTAAGTAAAGGTAAAATACTCATATAAAAATACATGTGCAAAACTATATATACTATGTACTTATAATAGATCCAACCGAAAACAATTTGACATCAAAATCTATGGAAGTTAGACAGTTTGAATTTAAAACATTTATTTTGAACACTCATCTAATTGGATGGCAAAAATGACATTTCTCAAACTGTACGTGCACAAAAAAAAAAAAGAGGAGGCACTTGCATTCACGAAAACAAGTTATAAAGTTTTTTAAATCCTTAATTAGGTCCAAAAATTTTCATGCATACGAATCCAGCCTTTATTGATAAATATAAAATTTCATATAATAGAAAAAGTAAGATGATAATTAACTGTATAATTTGAGCTCTGTTTTGAACAAAAATATAATCTTGTGCTTATCATTTCTTCTGACACATAATACAAACAGTAAATTTATTCATTTCAAAATTTCTGTAATTTTGTGCACATAACCTTTACCACTGTAAACTCCATATCCCAATAGTGGCCATCAAAAGCAAGGTTTGAGATGGAACCATCTACATCTAAACTGCATTAAGTACTGTAAAAATGGTTATCACATTACAAAACTAATTTATCCATTTCATTTTGGTTTATTTATCAATTAACAATAATTAAAATATGTGATGATGATGATAAACGCAGAAATAAACTCATTAACATTTTCTTGTCAAAAATATCCAACTTACAGACCTGTGCCATTTAATCACTCGTCTTCTGTTCACTGTAGAGAAATAAAATATAGTTGGTTTCTGAAATTTTTGAGTGTCACTTTGTAGAGAATGGAGAATTACCAGAAATGTATCAGATTTTAGGGCAAAAGTTCAAGTAGGAGTGTGTGATTAAAGCATGGTTTGACTTGGAAAGAAGAAAACTAAAAATAAACTTACGGAGGGCCAGTATGTCCTTGGGAAAGTCACAATGAAAATGAGTAAAGAATTTTTCATGTTTTTAAAATCTATTCTTGATTTGTGAAACAAAATACTATGCGAGTTTATAACTGGAAGTTACAATTGGTAGATAATTCATATTTGTTTTCAAGTAGACTTTTAAACACAGGCTATTTGCAGGAAATTATGGTAATTATAAAACAAGGCATCAAAATCAAATAGAGATGAAATATAATTAAATACTGAAACTATGGCCAGCTGTAGACACCAGTACGGGACAAGGTCAACAAGCAGGTGTTTAGAAAAGAACATTAAATTTAAAGTAATAGTGTGTGTGTGTGTAAGGTGTGTGAAATTAACTGAAATTCTCAGTTAATATCAATAATTCATTAAAAGATGTTGCATGAAATTTATAATTATTTTAGTAATTTCATCACTTTTTTAAAACTGTCCACCTTCAAGTAAAAGATAGAAAAGCAAGATCGACGCCCTTGAGCTATTCCCGTAATCGTTGTTGAATATATATAATGCACTATTTAAAAAGCACATACATTCATCTTCTGAGCAATGATTAATCTTTAAACTCTAATTTGAAGGTACAATTTGAGATGGTTAAATTTTCTGCTAGCATTGCTGTTGTTAATATTTTCAAACACGTAAAACAATTCTTTGGGGGATTTAAAGACAATTTTCTTACAAATCACAATGTGATCTTATCATTAATTTAGTGTTGAAAGTTTTTCTTATATTTTGAATATGGTTACAACTTGTAAAGAACAGAGATTTTATCAGTTAATAGACATATTGATGAAGTAGAATTTTTATATACAATATTAGAAATATTAAACATAAATTTTCTAAAAATCCTCAAAATACACTGTCAAGATTTATATTTAACACTTAGTGGTGACATGGTTGGGCTAGAAATATAGAATGACCTATTGTCTTTATCCAAACTCTTATGCTATAAAGCTTTACACTTAATTAGAAGAATGGTTTTTCACGATAAAAATATTCACAATATCACAAACGTTAACTTTATTGAGAATGATAAAGCTAAAGGTATTCATAGTAAGTGAAGCTTTTTAAATCAAGTTTACTTAACAACTATTATAGACCAGATTAATTAATAAATCTGGAACAATTTTGATATTTATAGAAAGCAAGAGAGTTTTATCAAATCCAATTTTTTTGTTGCTAGACAAATTAGTATCTAAAAATCAAGAAGCAATACTGTGCTATAGTAAAAGCAAGTAAGCAGAAAAAGTGATTTTACAAAGGTTGCATTTTTATTATTTAAAAAAATGGTTCACAGAATTACAGTATCTATATTTGGTAAAATATCTATAAAAATTTTTCTTCATATCTGACTGTATAAGTAAGAATAAATAGAATAGTTGTATTTTCCTTTCTTAACAAACACTATACTTTGTAAGTGGTCTATATATATTAAAGTTTTATCCAAACTGTAGATTTTCTTTTTGGTGTTTTTACTTTCTAAATATAACTTTATCAATTTATTTCACTCTCTAATTGAAGAATATTTTTGTTTTATAAAAGCCAGTCAAACCTTAAAATTGAAACTTCCCGCACTGCAATTCGTTGTCAAAAAAAGTTGCAAAAAATTATTCAAATATTAACAGAAGCATAATCTGAATAAAAAAAATTAACAATAAAAGTTTAAAAGAAATTTATATAGAAACTATGATATTGATTAAATTAATTTTTAATAGTAGTAATTGTGGAAATAGGCATCTAAATGTCTGTGTATAAAAGACACAACTTGCTCTGTTTTACCATAGAAATGCATAAATTTCACCATCAAAATCAACAAACTAGTAGATATAACACATTACATTTTATCTTAAAATTTCAATAATTTAGTATCATATATTTTATTGAATTGCAATTTGGAAAAATTGTAATCATCAATTTCCACTGTTGTCCATTTGTCTGTCCTTCCTTAATGCTGAGAATGGAATTAGATAGATGAAAGTCAAGACCAAATATAGAAAACTTAGGGGCAAGGAGGCCCTGATTAACATTATTTCAATTCAAAAATTTTTCCCCAAAACTAGTTAGAATGATGACTGGCATGACTCTATTGTTAAAGGAAAAGTATAGTGTACAGGGGCAAGCCAGTTCTAATATCAGGTGAAGAGCATATATCTTAAATAAATTAAAAATTGCAGCCAGACATTGTAACAACATTTATTAAATACATTACCCTATAAGAAACCAAGTCAGAATTGTCATCATAATCAATCAATCGTGACGGATATATAAATCTGGCTGGCATGATTATTTGATTATTATGATTCAAGCTGGATAATAAATCCAGATAATAATCATGCCTTCATGATTATTATATGGATTTTTTAAAATATATTGTACAACATAAAAATTAATATTCAGAACAAGAAATCAATTTCATTTTAAACAAAATATTTGCATTTAAAATGACATTACTCAATGAACAATTTTTACAAATGATAGATTATTATAATAGGACCTTGGTTTGTGACTTGGTTTGAAATTTTTATTC